TTTGCCCCCCTCGAATAAACCAAAAGCGAAAGGATGAAATTCGATTCGATTCGCTCTCCGTATACGTATACGTACATTGTATACGTATATGCGAAAAGAAACGAGCGAGAGAATGAAAAAGAGCGGTAAAAATTCGGATCGAATTTATATTTTTCCGCCGGTTGTTCCTTCGCGTTCGATCGAAATCGACTCGCGAAGATAGATCGAAGCGGCTAGATTATCGGCTTATTTGCAGGTTGAAAGGGTTGATGTAAATTGAGGGGGTCGTCTTGGGGTCGAATCGTCGAAGAAAGCGGAGAAGAAGCTTACCGGAGATAATCCTTGCGATTCGCCGACAAAGGGAAGAGAATTCTACCTGTTGGATCCGTTCGATGCGATTCTCGTTCGACGATTCTCTTTCGTATCCTCATCCGTTATCCTCGGCATGGAAAATTGCATCTATCGCATCGAGAGGCAGAAAAAGAATTCGCGTAATTATCGAGATAACGGAGGACATATTGCAAGAGGAGGCATTAACGTTTCGTATTTCTCCACTCGCGTCAATCCCTCCCCTCCACCCATTAATCGTACTCTCGTCTCGACTCGACTCTCCCTCTCTCTCTTTCCCCCTTCCCTTCCTCTTCGCTTTCGAATCGTCGCCTCGAACACCAAATTAACCATTCTTTCGCTTCAAAGGTTGAAACTCGTCAAAAACTTTCGCCTTTCCCGACTTTCCTCTCCCTGAACTTTAATCGTCCTTCCTCCGATCGATCTCGAGAGCGCGAGAAACTTCCTGTTTCTCTGCTCGTCGTTGACCGAAACGATTCAATTTCGTCGACCACTGTCAATTTTTCCCTCTGGCCCCTAACGTGTTCCACGCGAGATTCGACGACGCCCTTTCCATCGACCAACTCTTCCTCGCCAATCGTCGCAGCCCGTTGTTCGCACAAGAAGTGGACAACAAGCCCGAACTCGCCACCGGTTGCTCGTTTTCTTCGTATCTCGGGGCGAGGAAATCGTGGCGAGAATTCGAATACTCGGGCGGCGGTAGCAGCGTAGGTGTCGAGGGTTGATAATTATTCTTGGAAGCGTAATAGCTGTTGCGAGGGAAGAGCGCCGCGGTCCACCGCTATTACGTTGCGTCGCCGCCAGGATAAGAGCAAAGAGAGAGGGAGAGGGGGGAGGAGGGGGAGGTAGAGGAAGGAACGAAGCGAAGAGGGGTGGCGAAGGAGCTAGACAAAGTAGCTTCTCCGGGGTTTCCTTCCTATTATCCGTGGTTGGCGGTCCGCTCAGCCAGCATGCATACAAAGCAGTATTTATAGGCAACGTAGCGGCGCACGGCCCGGAGGGACGAGTTGAACAAATATTCATCCTCCGGAGTCTAAAGTCGAAACACGATCGTCCCCCCTCCCCTCCTCCTTCCCCCGCACACACCCTCCACGACCGCATCGCCGACATCTCCGCTTTATCCCCCCTCCCCCCCGTCCTGGAAATCACGACCATACTCTTCAACCACCCGGTGTTTCGATTATCACGAGGTTAGATATTGAGAAACGCGTGGAAACACAAATTCGCAAATTTTTTCCCCGGTATTTTTGGCAAGAAACGATCGATTTTTCGTCGAGTTAGTTAGAGGCGGAGGGGCGAGGCTTTCGTATCGTTAAGCTTTATCGAAGCGAAAATTCGATAGGGTGGTAGAAGAGAGTCAGTTGCAAGACGTTACGGTTACACGATCTCTGGCCATGGACGAAATCGTTACGATGGGGAGGGGGAACGGAGAATGTAACGACGCGCTTCTTCACGACTTCACCACGTCGATTGTTCGTCGATTCGATCGAGGATTTCTTTTCGAACGCGCGATCGAAACGATCCGAGAAAGAGTGTTCTTGGATCTTCTTGGGGGAGAGTAAATCGGGATAATAAGAGAGGATTTCCCCGATCGATTCGTTCCTGGCTCGTTCCTGCGCGATTAAAGCGGGGTCGGTCGAGCAAAGAGGTTAAATTTGTGCGCGAACGGAAACTGAGATAAATCAACCGCGTGATGGGATTTCCTTGCACGAGAGACGCGAGCAGATGACTTTGCAAATTTCATGACTGGAGGCGAAGTCCGCTTCGAGAAGGAAGATCGTGGAGAGGCCGATGTAAATCCGTAGCGTAGTAATTTTAAATTTTTTAAACCGGTTGTTTCCGATGTTTTATCTCTTGACTTTTCGCCGATCGAAGGGAAGAAGGATCGAACGGATAAAAGAAGATAGAGACAGATCTCGAACGACGAGTGCTACTTCGCGCGTAAATTCCAGCTGGAAATCTCCTTAGCGATGCGGTCCTTCTTCCCTCTTTGCATCGGTTTTACGGGCTAGCCGTCGGTTTGCTACGTCTAAATGCAATTTATCGGTCCCGTGGCGAGAACAAGCACGGACGCTTCTCTCTCTCTTTCTCTCTCTTTCTCTCTCGACCACCTTTCGTGCCAAATCTCGATTCGTCCATATACTTTTCGCGACATCTTTTTCTCGTCCCTTTGTTCTTTCCTTTCTCAAAGAAATTCTCGCGTCTCGATCGTCAACCCTAGAAAGTGATGTATGATAAGCAAATGGAAACAGAAAGAGGGAGAGAGAGAGAGAGAGAGAGAGAGAGAGAGAGAGAGAGAGAGAGAGAGAGAGAGTTAGACGTCTCGAAAAGAAGATCAAAGAGATGGATCGCGTTAGCTCGCTTATTCCCTGACAGCTCGATTCGAAGGAACAGGAGAGCGACACGCGCGAGCTCTCTCGAGTAAACCGAGCGAAAAGTTAGCTGCTAACTCGCTACAAACTAGCGGCCAAATAGCTTTTCACCAAGAAATACCTCCATGCGCTTCTAACGACGTTCGATCCATCCTATATATGTATTGAATTGTTCGGAAAGTAATTTCGTTTTTTTCGAAATGACCAAATCATTTCATGCGATCACGAACAATGGAATTTCTCGAATTGTTATTCGTCGTTTGCTTCGATCGGTGTCTTTATTTTGTTTTCATGTCGGAACGAAATTTCAAAAACCACATACTGTTGATATCTTCTTCATACACTTCGCATAACTTTTTTTGTCTGAACGGCATTCCTAACCTTTGTATAATAACTCTGTAATATAACCCTGTATAAATAAAAAAATAAAATATATCGAAAATGTTCTTTTTGGTCTTGCATCTTTGTTATCGCGTACGAAAAAGCACAATCGCACAACAGAATTAAACGAATTTTTCTTATAAATAATTCGAAATCGCCAACTCTCAACATATATAATAACACGATTTAGAACGAAGTTGGCTGTGGATAAACGTTCGACACGTAGCGACGCTCGTGTGAAGAAACGAAATTACTTTCTGAACAAGCCAGTATATATATTAGATGTGCAAATATTCTATAATTCTTTCGTCTTTTTTTCTACGATCATAATTTCTGACCGAATTCAAATCATTTCACGTTGGTGGTGCCATCCGAAAAAGCATTCTTTCGTTTTTAAAAAGAGTCGTGAAGAGAAGCATCGTTGCTTACTTTTTGCGTTCCAGTTTAGGAAATCGGGTGTTAAAGCTACTGAAATGGTTTGTGTAGCATTGGGACAGAACGTCGTATCTTACAGAATGTGCGAAAAGTCGTAACAAAGATTTAAAGCCGGAAATTTTAATTTGGAAGACGGCAATCGTTCAGATGCACCGAGAAGTTCGACGACGGTGAGTAAGAGGAATCTTTCGACGAACATCCGACCCAGACGCGAGAAGAATTGATAAGAAAGATTGAAAATCACTAGAGACAAATCTATTCGATTGAAACAATTGGGTATCTGATTTATGTAATAAAATTTTGAATTTGGAAAAAAAGGGGGAAAGAATTTATTTGCAAACCTACATATATATACGATAATAATACGCTTCCATCGATCGAAATAATCGATTTTTTTTCGAAGGAAAAATCCATCCGACCTCGCTGCTCCTTGCGCCACCAATTTTTTTTACGTATCATCGCGGCGTTGTTCTTTCGTCGTTCTCGACGCGACACGAGAAATTCATCGCCTCTCGATATCTCCTCTCACCTCACTCGAAATTCACCGCACCACAATCGCCTTTCCCACGTTAATTATCCACCAGGCTCGCGAGAGACGAGACGATCGAGCGATCGTCGTCCAAGGATTACTTGTTTATTCAACGGGACAACCACGGCCGTGGCGATCGATCCACAAGGCGGGTTTTAAACCGGCGACGGGAAAATACGAAGCAACGAGAAGAAGTGGTCGAGAAGAAGAATCGTAAATACGGGAGCGAATCGACTCGGGACAAAAAAGACGTACTCCTCGAAGGATACTCGACGAGTGTCTGAGTATTCGCAAAGGGAGCGAAGTAGTCTCGACGAAGGAGAGCCTTTTTCCCTGCAAACTCGAGGAAGAATCCTCCCCATTCTCCCGTCTTCCCGTCTCCTTCGATTTCTCCAACCTCCCCCGTTAAACGAGGAACGATCGCCATTCTTCTCGGTTATTCCTTCGTCTTTTTCTCGGATCGCCGAGAAATCGCGCGTATCGCTCGATTTAACGATTTACAAAAGTCGGTCTCGCCGGTGTTTGTCCACCGTGTTTACCACCGATTCGCGCCGATTGAACGAGCGAACGAAGCGAAGAACGGGATTCCAATTAAATCGGAAGCATCGAGAGTAAAACAAAAAACAAAAAAGAGCGAGAGAGAGAGAGAGAGAGAATGATCCAAACAACAGTCGCTCTCGATCGATAAAAACTCTTCCCGCCCAATTTCGAGAACAATGGCTCGAACAAAGTAATGGTTCTCGCCGAAAAATTCACTACACTCGTACGACACCTCCACCGATTAATTTCGCCCTTTTGTTTCCAACGACCAGCCATCTCGCGTTGTTGCCAATTGTCTCGATTCGATCTTCGCCGACGATTGACCATTGGAATCCATGCGGAACAATGATACACAGCTGCCTATCGATCGATCTCTTGGAAGGGACGTGAAAAGAACAATATAGGCACCGTTGGTTTATTTCAATTTTATTATAAAATATAATAATGCGATGTAACATTTACTCCATATCGAATATTCATTTCGTTACTGTACCGTATAATATGTATAATATGTACAACGAGTAAATTTGCTCTATGCGAGTGGTGTTCCTTTGGATGGATCGGAATTCATCCCCCCTCCTTCTCCCCTAGGAAAAGGGAGACGGCGATCCGACCGTGCGCGCGTATACGTGTGCGTGTGCGTGCGTGTGTGTATGTGTGTACGATTTCCATCGTGGATAACGGCACCGCCGACTCTTCGAAACGTCCAGTTTCCGCGCGATTGATTCTCGAGCGAACGATTCGAACAGAAGAAGGGGACAGGGAGAGAGAAAGAAAGAGAGAGAGAGAGAGAGAAGAAAAACAGAAAAATATAACGTTAAATTTACGCGTCGATGACGAGTTCGTTTCTGCTACGATTCCGTAACGCATTATCGTTATTCGCGCGTCTCTTTCTTTCTTCTTTTCACCCGATCTAACGAATTCTTCCATGTTCCATCGGACGAATAACAAGCGAACAAAGAGAGAGGGAAAGAGAGACGCGCTGCTCCTCCTTTATATTTTTCTCCGTCGTGTTCCCGTCGTGTCGTCGTACGGCCGGCAATTTACATGCAAATAAGGAGCAAAGGGGAGTTACCGGTTACAAAACCGTCGCGATTCGAATTTACCTCCCCCCCTCCTCTCCCGAATACTCTGTCAAAGAGTTTACGAAAACGATCTCGTTGTCGACGAAAACGAAGGCTGATCCTGATTTTCGAATCCTCCTCCTCCTCCTCCTCCTTCTCCTCTTTCACCTTTCGCTTAAAATTACGTAATCGCTGTCCGCTTTTCTCCATCGATCCACCTCCGACCGTCTAATTGGACATCGTTCCATCTTCGGCCCTCTCTCGAGTCCGATCTATATACAGCTTATTCGCAACCGTTCCTTTAATTTTTTTTCATTTCTTTTATGATGTAACGTACCATAGATTTACTTCCGTTTACAATTTTTCTTATCTCGCTATACGATTTCCCATTCCTTTATGCAGCCAAAAGATAGTTTCTCGTTCGTTTCATTTTCGTGTTTCACACTTTTATGGATTCATCTTGAATATCATATCGCACACTTACGTTATTGTTAATTAAACGATAACTCGACTGAACGTAGAAACGCTCTCACTTAGTACCAGCGTTCGAATACTTTTGCAATTTAATAACACATGTATATAATAAACGTATTATAACTACCGTATAAATCGGTGAATCATTTTTAAATTTTGTTGACGTAATCTTGATATTTCTTTCCTATTATACATTATCTTAAATAAGTTGTTCCTATATTTCGTTCATCAAAAATTGCAAATATAAGCATTCGAATACTTTTGTATAGTCCAAGTTACTCGTTTTAATTGTTCGTTGAAGAGGAGAAAAAAATCGAACGAGAATTCTTTCGGAGAACGATCTCTCTCTCTCTCTCTCTCTCACGAAAGTTAGGAAGTTAGGAAAGTAAGGGTGGAAAGTTAAACCGCGCGTCTCGAATTTGATCGTTGGGCGGGAAACATCGCGTGGAGGCCGTTAACAAAGGAAAATTTGATCCGGTGCGGCGAGGAGAACTATTTGGAAATTGCGCGCATCTCGTCCTGACCTCGAGGATGGGAAAAAAACGAGCTCGGTGGTCGAAATCGGGAATATCCTATTTCGCGATTTTGCTCGAAAGCAAGGAATTCTGGCAACAGGTCGAAACGGCGAAGAGAATGAAGAACTCGAGAGGGGGGAGGGGGATGAGTCGCGGGCGAACGAGTTTTCCAACTTTTGTTTCATACCGACTTTCGTCGATAACTATTCGCCCCGGGATATCCGGGGCTACTTTCGTCTCTCTCTCTCTCTCTCTCTCTCTCTCTCTCTCTCTCTCTCTCTCTCTCTCTCTTTCTCTACGTCCACCGAAAACGATGGAAAAGGAACCAAAGTCGCGCTCGTTTCTCCCTTAATGGAACTCCATCGGTGGTGGCTTTACACCAATACTAAACCACTCGCGCTTCCCGTTTTCCTGTTTCGTGCTCGCGGAAATCCGATGCCTCGAAATCGATCCTGCCCCTCCTTGTTTCCAGGAAGATCGATCAGATTTAAAAAAAAAAAAAAAAATCTGGGATACTCGTCTCGATCCCGTTCGAAGAATATACTCTCGCTACTGAAGAAAAGAAAGGGAGAGGCGGCCCGTAATAATTTTCATCGCGGTGTTGGCGGAGGTTGAAACGACAACGTTCCAACACCGCACTGATTCAACCGCAACCGCGCGAGTTTTCGCGTTTTAAATTCAATTTGGTGATACCCGCGCCTCCTCCGATTACCATTTAAATTACCATTCGTTTAAGCCGCTTTTCCCTCGAGGAATCATTCTCGTTCTCCAACGACAAAAAGATCCTCTCGATCTCGGTTTAATAACAACAATTGCGCGAAAGAAAAAAAGGAAGGAAGGAAGAAGGGGAAGGGGGATATTTTCTTCTCGCGCGCACATCGCGTTGGAGCATAAAGCGGAACGAGACGGAAGATGGAAGGGGTTAGGGGCTTCTAGCCGTTTCACCGGCGTTTCTCAAAAGGGCTCCGTTGTTTTTTCCAATAAATCGCGTAACGCGGGGATTCGATCTTCGATCGATCGAGTTTCGCGCCCTCTTCCTCCCCTCGATTCCTTCGACTTAATAATCCGAACAATCTGCATTTTTCGCGAAAAAAATTCCTCTCCTCCTCCCTTTCTCTCCATTTTTTCGCGCGCTTCGCCGCCTCGTGTGCAAATTAGGGGGAGGAGAAGAATCGACGTGGCTTTTTATACGTTTCGCCGGAGCGTTTTTCCTCGCTTTGAACGAAATCTTTGAAATTCTTTATACGAATACGCGCTTTTCGAATCGTACGAGAGAAAGTTTTTAGCGTCTTTCGAGCAAAGGCGCGGGGTGAAGGGAGAAGGGAATCAAAGAGAAGTACCGAAACGACGAGATGCCTCCAGTTTCTAGAGTCGCAAAGATCACAGGGAGAGAAGTTTGCGGCTAACGAACGCTGTTGTACGTCGTTACCTGTCCGAAACATTCGCTGTTCCAAACGTTTCCCTTTTTGTTCTCTCTCTCTCTTTCTCTCGAGCAGAAGTTTCGAAAACGTGTCGAGAGGGGAGGCTCTTTCGTTACCGTCGCGTAAAAAAAAAAAAAAAAAAAGAAGAGGTAGAGGAATCAGAGGAGAGATGAAAATCGTTTGAATCGAACGCTCGATCGAGAATCTTGCACGGTTTCCAACGCTTTGCGCTACTCGCCCATATATCCCCTCCACGTAGAATCGTGGAGAAGTTGGTCGCGAAAAAACGTGGTGGAAACGTGGCAACGCTGTACGCACGAGTGGAAGAAGTAAAGTTTGGTTCTTAAGATAAGGTAAAACGATCGGGTAGTTGGGTGGGAAGCGTGCGTGACGCGTGACGCGTGGCTTGTGCGACGTGTGTGGTTTGTCGCGTGACGTGTGCGCGGTGTGCTCGTACCCGGATGAGACGCTCGTAGAGGTGATTCTCGATGCTTCTCCTCCTTCTCCTCCTGTTGCTGCTTCCTCCTTCTCCTCGCCCTCCTCACGGCTCAACAAACCGTGACGAAGGAGAGGGTGGTCGTCTTCGGCGAGGCATAGGCGTGAATCGATTGAGAGTATCTCGATTGTCAAATGCGCAGAGGATCGGTGTGCGGGTTGGACGGCTTGTGTCGCGCGGCGCAGAAGCTCAGCCCGAAGCACAGCATCAACAGCGCCACCGAGCCTACCAGCAGATAGCTCGACCATGAAACGGAACACTTTCCTGTAACATATGCATAACATATTCTCGCCATTTTCTTCCCCTAAACATCTCCATTTTTTCTTTCTCTTCTTCTTTTTCTCTTTTTCTTCGGAAGATTCGTTCGAATCACGAGAGAAAATTCGAAAGAATGGTCGCGCTTTTGTAAAAGAACTAACTTCTCCTTTCCATACCTCGGTCGGTAAGAAAGTATAGAATAGAACGAAATGAACGATTTTGCAAAGTCAACACTCGTGCGGGCAGAAAGAAGATACTCACCGAGATTGTACACGTTAGCACCCTTCCCGCAAGACTCCCGCACCTCCCTGTTGTCCCATCCTATCGGATACATGACCAGACCGCCGCATATCATCGCTGCTGTAACGAGAAAATGGGAATAACGGTTGACGAATTGGATTAAAATTATTCTTCTCTCCAACCATTTTTCTTTTTTTCTTTTTTTTTTTTCAACATGAATATCGGCGCGAGATCGAGGACGACAAGGCTCGAAATGGGAAAAACGTATTGGAATGGCGCGCGAGAGAGAAAATGAAACGCGTCAACGTTTCGAGGAAGATATTCGAGTAATATCCGTTTGTCCGACTGTTTGCACGAGATGTCGCCGTCTTACTTTCCCCCTTCTACTTCAAACGGTAGACAGTTTTCTCTATTAACGTTCTCCTCTTCCTCTCCGTTTATCCATGGAGTTTCTCCTCGAAACTTTGAAAACGCAACGATAAAATATTATCGCATCTCTCTCTATCTCTCTCTCTCTCCTCGATCAGCCAGAGGAGATCTCGAGGATCCTCCGTTTAAACGTATCTCGTATATTATCGAGACGTCGATTTTAAAACCATATATATATATATATATATATACACATCATATATCTACATATTATTACAAGATCCATTACGAGGGCGTTGCCACGCGTTTAAAAATCTCTTTTTTCCGGACAGAGTTAAAAATGTAAACATCTCTAGATCTACCTTATTATTGCTCTTCGTCATACGATTCGTAATTTCTCCCTTTCGTTTCTTTCTCTAACACGATGATATTTGGTTACAGGCGTCAGTAGAGTCCGATAAAAGGAGAATATCCTTTCCTGTAAATTCGTCCTCCGTTCGATGTTTGGAGGGGACGAGGAGGAGAGAGGGGGACAGATTAAATCTTACTTACCGGCGAGCAACTGGAGAGAGCCGAGCACCCTGGTGTGTCTCGGAGTTTTGAGGATGTGCGGAAGGAAGGTGGAGGCGGCCGCGAGCAGGGTAAGGGCGCCGATCACCGCGATCGCGACCCCGATCCCCATGGTGACTGTGCTCGCCTGCCACCAACCGCTCGGAATGTCCCAGAAGCTAAAATCAAATATCGCCTCTATTGTAGCGCACCACCGCATTCTCGTTAAACTGTATTGTTGACAAAATTCCGAGAAAATTGAATTTCACGTTGTAAATTAACGGGCCGAGCACCGCCGGGCGTAACTTTGATTTAAAGCTAAAACTGAATCGCTGGAGTTGCCGCTCTCCCCCCCCCCTCCCTCTCTCCCTCTCCCCTCCACTCGTCCGTTCGCCCCTCCCCTCCTCCGCTTAATTGGGATCGTCGATCGTCGGATTTTCATGCGGAATCCATCAATCGGTAATAATACAGATTTTTTCGATCGCGTAGCATCAAATTATTATTAATTAAATGATAATAAACAATAAACGATTTTTCTTAGGAAAATTCGCGAAACTCGTCCGAAATCTAATGACGAAAGCCCATGACGTTTTCCAAAAGCCTGTTTTCCCTCTCCCCCTCCTCCATATCGTGCCACAAATACACCGGATATACGTACGATTGCATTAAGATCGCCCCCGTTAATGCCGGCCGAACGTGGTGCGGCGGGTATTCCGGTTGAATTGAAATCGAGGGAAGGAGGGGAAGGGGGAGGAGGGGGAGAAGGGTGAAACGCGAAGCTTTTCCGATAAAATGTAAACACCGCGTGAAAAAACGCGTCAGAACGCGAAACCGGACCAACTTTTTCCTCCTCCCCTCCCCTCCTCCCTCCCCTCCCCCCCTCCTCCCCCTTCTCGCTACATTTAATTAACGAGTTTGGATTCGAAATTTCAACCTCGGACACAGATATCTCGCTAGAATCGCAATCTCTCTCTCTCTCTCTCTCTCTCTCTCATCCATCTCGGTATACATAGTTTTGAAAAAACTAGCGCGATTCGCCATTTGGTGCCATTCAATCTCGGATCGGATAAACGGAAAGTAATCCGTGCTGAAATGGCAGCGATCTGTAATTAGCTTTTTTCCTTTTTTTTCTACGCCGTTGTATGATTGATGCAATGGTGAAAAAAAAAAAAAAAAAACAACGAAAGGACGAACGTTGGAAAAAAATTTTCAGTATCGGCGTAACGATGTCGACCTATTGATCGGATAAATTTATCCCGAAATACAGGGCAGCGTTACGTATATGGGAATTGTGTTTTTAATTGCAACGTTTCACGATCAATTCGAAGGATAGGACAATCGCGCCTACGATGAGAAATCGTTGGCCGAACGAGGACGAATTTTTTTATTATCGCGAAAACGGGGTCGATTAATAAAGCGGTTTAATAAAGAGAAACGGAGGAACGGAAGTTTTCTTCGCGATTCGTATTTTGGCCAAGGTTCGAAAACCACCTCGACGACAGCAACGATTTGTTCTTAAAATTTGCGAGATCTGGTGCCTCGCAAATGATGGAAAATTTAAATACGTACCTGGAATATCTGGCGCACTCGTAAACTATTTCGGGAGCGGTATTCGCCGCCCTTATCCGTGGATAGTTGCACCGTCGAAAGGAACCAAAATACGCGTCCGCCTTTCCCAGTAGTCGTCCCTGAAATCAGGAAAACACGCGCGTATCGACCAACTCGACAACCTCCGAAAGTAGTCTTTCGAGGGAAGAATTCTCGAGGATCGAGATATTTTTGAAAAACGGTTTCCATACGCGCGTTGAGCGGACGATTTCTTTATACACAGGGAGAGAAGGGGGGACAGTGTTTCGCATCTCTGGAACCCTTGATTCGGAAGCAAAACCGTTGACCCGGTGCCAAGTAGTTTCTTCTTGGGAGCGAGAGATTAAGTTTTACCGAACGTTCCACGTTTCTTGCGATCGCGAGACCGATCGTAAAACGCTTCGCCTCGCCTCGTTTCGTTTCGCCAGTGGAATAAAGCGGGTAAAAGTCGGACAGGATTTCCCGGTGTATTATTCTTGGCCGAGACACCGAGGCAAATTCGATGGGTCTGGCGGTAAGAATCGGGTCTCGAGTAAGAAGCGAAATTTTTCCTCCCGTAAATCATCCTCTTGCGTTCCCCGGGAATTTCTTGGGATGTGAAAAAAAAAGAGAAAGAGAAAGAGAGAGAGAGAGAGAAAAAAATCCTTAATTAATCCCAGCGCGAAAGTAGGAAAAGGTGGTCGTAACGATCGCCGCTCGTAGAGATTGTTTTTTCGCCGAGAAGGGGGAGGGAGAGGAACGAGAGGAGATTTCTCCTTAAACGAACGGATCCGACTGCTTCTTCTCTCGGACTGAACACGTAGAGGTGCTTCTCTACGCGAACGAAGAAGCGAGCGCAGGAAGGCAAATGTAAATTCACTTATGCATTTATTCATCCCGCTACTCGAGTATTTTCAAAGCCATTTAGAGCCCCCTTCTGCGTTTCGCTGCTCCACAAGGAATATACGTGTGTGTATGTGTATATATATATGTATATGTATATATATATATATATATATATATATGTTTCGAAGGGACACTCGTGCACGGATGCCGCGATGTCGAAATTATTCATCGACTGTTTTTACGCCCGTTTCCCCTGTCGGTTTAATCACCAGTCTTGCCGCTAATTTAACCAACCAATTCGTCACGATTTACTCGTCGTCGTCTTTTTTAGAAGAATCGAGGTTGGTATATGAAAAAGAAAAAGGAAAGAAAAAAAAAGATAAATATTCGGATCGGTAAATTTAATTCCGTCGAAACTATCCACGTACGCAATAAGAGGGGAAGGGAAGGGAAGAGAGGAGAAAAGCGTTAAAGAAGACGAGTTTTTTCCACGAGAAAGTTTCTTTCTTTCTCGTGGACGAGAAGAAAGAATTTCCCCTCGGTTCCTTTTTCAGCGAGCGAGAGAGAGAGAGAGAGNGAGAGAGAGAGAGAGAGAGAGAGAGAGAGAGAGAGAGAGAGAGAGAGAGAGAGAGTGCTCGAGCCCAATTTACGAAACAAGCATCGTTCCCTCCGTTTCTCTTTAGCCGGGTTAAGTGGAGGTTCGCGATCGCGGGGAGATCCACCGCGTCGATGACGTCGGGCGGTCGTCGCGAGCCCTCTCCACCGGAGAGGTTGGAGATTGCGAGTTGGTTTACGATCTAATTTGGCCGGGAAGGAGAGGGGAGAGGGGAGAGAGAAGCCGCCATTGGCCAGGTAACACCGACCTATTCCTACGAGTTTCAAAGTTGCCTCGTGTCGCTCTCTCTCTTTTTCTCTCTCTTTCTATCCTCCGGTAACGAAGGTAGTTCGTTTCGCCTGGCTGGATGACCGAAACTTTTTCCAAACTCGTCGTCTCGTTATCCCGAAAACGGGAGCGGGCGACGCGTACACGCGAGAACAAGTTGGAGAGCGAGAAACTCTTCTCGAAACTCCTTCGTTCGTTGGTTGGTTCGTTGGTTCGTTCGATTCCGTAATTGGCCTATTTCGAAACGCGTTTCGTTGACACGCGCAGTGTTCGATTTTCACCGGATGGATAGATGGGAAAAAAAATCCAAGACGATTTATATTGGATGGAACGAAAATTGTTGGGATTCGAAAATGGAATTTACCACTGTCACCGCTGATGAGCGCGGTTTCGGCACAAAGAGAGGGAGGGAGGGGGAGGGAGGGAGGAGATCGAATAGCAGTCGATCGAAATACGAGGGAGGAGTATATCGGTCGCCGAGTAATCGGATCACGCTTAATTACACGGTGAAAATCAACAGTTAATGAAGAGAATTAGCGAACGGTTTGCAGGGAACGGAGGAGGGGAGGTTAACGAGGTTCGAAGAGAGAAGTCTTGAATTTCGCGTGTTTCCCCAAGTTTCGTTGTCGTTTCGTCGTTTCTGTTCGGGCCGCGGTCGACAAAGTCGTAAAGTCGTTCGCTATTTAATCGTAATATCGAGAAAGTTGTACATCTTACGCGTAATCTCTCCTTCATCTTTATCATCCGCGTACTTCTTTCGAATATATTAATCGTTGGATCGTTTGAGCGAGAGGAAAAATCCATTTCCGGCGGCAGGTACACAACAGGGGCGAAGTTTGCGAAACCTATCAACGTTTGCCCCGCATCAGCGGAGACATTAATACGGGTTGTCGTTGGCGATAGAGTTGGCAAGCAAGTTGGACGGGTGGGTGGTTGGTTGGTTGGTTGGTTGGTTGGACGTGTCGCGTGCTGGGACGTTTTCGAAGCTCGAAATTGCCGGAGTTTTGCGGCAATTTAACGCTCCCACGATCGACGGGACAATTTTCCTCTCTCAGCCTTTTCCTCTTGCGCTTTCGCGAGCCCGATCGCGTGCATCGTTGTACGCGGAAACGTGCGCAATTCCTCCTCCTCCTTCTCTTTCGCTTCGTGCATCTAGACGCCTCGTCGTCGTCGTCGTCGGACAAAAACGATCTCGTACGGTTTTATGACTATGTATGGCGACGGCTAACGGCTCGATGAAAGCTCGATACCGTCAAAGAACATCGAGAAAACGTGGACATCTTTTTAACATCTCCTTTCACCATCGACCGAATGCTTCTACATAGCTTCTTTGTATAGAATTTGTTCTTATTTCTCTTTTTCTTTTTTTTCCGAGGTGACATCCTCGTCAACCGAGAAAGAAAGCAAAAAAAAAAAACCCGAGAATCGATCTCCTTCTTTCGACGACCAATCGCGAGAAAGCGCGATATAACGTTGATATCTACTTAGGGTATATTATATTTAACAGCGATGTTCGATTGAATCCCTTTATCGAAGCGAAGTGAAAAAAGGCGAAGCATTTCATTTGCGAGTATGATGCAAATGCGAAATATTATTGTTTCTCTTTACACGCCGCGTCACGAAAATCCATCCATCCGATCGCTGTTTATTAATGCAACGAGTGTGTTCAATGCGTGAAACTCGTTGGGAACGATATGTGGGCCGATCGATCGCGCGTCGCAATTAATATCGCCGA